AATTTTAAATTTAAGAATAATAAAAAGAATAATTAATTTTAATTACCAAAGTACCTATTACAATTGTTGATATAAGATCAATATTTGACCATTATAAGTTTTGTTAAAGAAGAAAAGATTAGATAAAGTTAACTTGATAATGTCTAAGATAAGTTTGTAAATAAGATATTTTTTTAGAAGTTCGTGTCGGCCGAGGACAGCCCAACTCCCAGGATGGCCGAATGTTAGAGAATCATGGGATACGGCCCTGCTTCTCTCGCGATGCTGACTCAGGTTCCTGCCTGGACGGCTGCAAAGCCTTAATATAAACAATATATGAATTGATTTGAATGTTCACAGTTTTTAGTTTCAGTTTAAAGAGTTATGTCAAGTTAGTCTAAGCGTTTTTATACGAAATTGTATTCAAGCTTTTACTCTATTAAATATATGTTTTTCTTAAATTACTGAATTAAATTTATGAATTCCTAACATTACACACTTAAAAAACATATTTATATGTATAAATGTGTAAATTATTAAAGCAAAGACTATTTTTTACTTAAAATTTAATGCACATTGGTATTTAAAAAAAAATACACAAAAACATTTTAATATCAATTTTTTAAACTGGAGTTCCTTGATAAATCATATTAAGTTTAACCTTGACACTAATGACAAACTTTAGCAAATTTATATTACCACAGCTCAATATCAAGTCATAGATCATAGTCTACGATTACTAAGTCTCGGAATGAATAAACGCTTGGAAATTATAGGGTTCAAGTTTCTGTTTAATTGTATTTTACATAAAACCTATTTTTTATTATTTATTTATTACAAAAAGCTTTGTTTGAAACAAATAGCAATGAGAAATAATTAAATTTAAATTGCAGGTTACTTATGCACAGTTTAAGATATTAGTAACTTTTTATTAGAATTGTTTTATATTTTATAAAATAAGATTTGCAATAAAATATATATTATATATACATACATTATTTATTTACGTTTTTATTTGTTTCATTAGTTTAGTTAAACCATTAATTTTGGGTTTTGATATTTTCTATTACCTTAATGGGAAATAAACAAGCTCAATCAGTGGAGTAATTAAAACTTAAATGACAGGGCGCTAGGGAGCTTATTGAAAATAAATCCTCCAATTAAAAAGTTATTTCTTAAATAAGGCTTAAAATATTTAAATAAGAGTTGGATAGGTACATGAGAGTAATTGAAAAAATCTATTCTTTTTTTTACTTCTGATATCTAAAAACTGGTTGCTGGACACCTAAAAAGAAGCCTATGTACGTAAAAGCTCTTAATATTAATAGTAGGTAAGCAACCAATTTTTTAATATTTTACATAATATAAAGTCAAAAAAAATAATAGTTAATATTTTGAATCACCCTACTGTATATCTAAATACCAAATCGACCACTTTTGACCCGACCCCTTTCGATTTGGCTAACATATTAAATACATTTTTCAGAACCTTTTTAAATTTTTTAAAATTATTCAAACCGATCTGCAACGTTTTTTCTTAATTTAACAAAAAAAAAACAAAATTTTCTTGACATTTTTGACATTTCTCTAAAATTAATTAGTAAATGAACGTGAAAAAAATAAAAAATGTTTTTTTGTTTAAATACTTAAAAAACATAGTTTACTTAATAATTGCATTTTTCTACTCGTACATGTTTCCATGACACTAAGTGACCTTTTATATACACATTAACAAGTTGTGGCTTTATGGCGTTTTGGTCACAGGCTGAAGTTGGCAACAGGTTTTAAGTCACTGGCTGAAGTTAGTTTTAAGATATTTATCAAATACAATCGATAAAGTTAGGTTCCCTTTTTGTAAAATAACACTACATAAATGTGAACATTATTTTATTATCTAATACAACAGTATTAACGCCAATATTTAAAAAGTTTATATGAACATTGTACTGATCTTTTAATTTCGCTGGATTTAAATTATTATTATTATTATTATTATTTTAATGTGCTTTTAACAGGCACCAGGCCCAATTACAGAAGTACACAATGACAAACACAAATAAACAACCATACCCCTGGTGGGATTCGAACCCACGACCTCTCGGCTTGTAGTCCGCAGTGCTAACTACTAGACCACCGAGGGCGTTTAAAAAAATTTGGGCAGAGACTCCACCGTGGAGTGTCCATAAAACATTTTCTTCACTTTCACTGTGAAAAACTGCTTCTATATAGGATTTAAACGGTGGTTAGTCCATTTAAAAGGGATACATTTCGATTTTCACATACAAATTTGACATTTTCTCCGGCGCGCCGGTAATACTGATTCTGAAGAATGGTTACTCTATTGTTTTATAGATGTCGCATATACAAATATTTAATTTAAATCATTTTTAAATAATAATAAGTATTTGTCGTAGAAAAAGTATATTATGCAACTCATTTATAAACTTTTCTAGACCCTCGTGACTAAAATGGCATTTATCAGACTTGATACATTGTACAGAAAATTATTTTTCATTTTATTTGTTTTTAAATTTATTTTTTAACAAAAAAAAATATAAAAAAAATATTATTTTTTCATAATTTGAGGTCCTCTCTACTAAAAAATCCTTAGAATTGTATTATAAAAAATAAGCTAACTTAATTAATTTTGTTTTCCATTGAAAGAAAAATAGAAAACAAAAAACGCCATTTTTCAGAGGATTTGCAAAAAATGTCAGTTTATAATAAAAAAAAAGAAAATGAAATGATGATCATCAAAAGGTTTTTGTTTTTTTTTTCCCGAAAATTGAAATAGTTTTCTGAAAAGTATATTTTTAAAACCAAAATTTTGAAAAAGTTATAGATATTTGAAAAATAAAGAGCCATTTTTTCTAAAAAATTTATAACTTTTTTCGTTGGGTAAAAATTATGAAAAATATATCTGAAAAATGTTTTTGATAGCCAAATCAAATGAAGTTTAAAAAAAAGTATATAAAAAAATATTCAGAACTATCTTCGATTTTTTTCTTACTTAAAAAAAACATTGAAATTGTTTTGATGATTATCACTTTCAATTTCATTCATTTTTATTTTTTCAAACTACAGAATTTTTAGAAAATGTCAAAGTTTTTAATAAAAAATGAAATAAAAAATTAAGAAAGACAATCGCCAAGAAATTATTGTTTTTTTTTTATTAAAAAAAAAAGACCGACGAAGAACGGTCAAAATATTTTTTTTTACTTTTTTGAAAAGTTAATTTTTAAAACCAAAATTTCAAGAACAAAACGTTTTGAAAACTCAATTTTTAAAAAAGTTATGTATAATTGAAAAATAAAAAGCTAAACTTTTTTTGGATGGGTAGAAACATTTTAAAAAAATTAAAAAATTTTGAGAGGGTAGAAAAAAAAATAATCAGAACTATCTTCGATTTTTAGAACACATTGAATTTTTTTCGATGATTAATTTTTCAAAAATCCCTAGAGAAATAAATAAATAAAGAATTTGCAGAAAAAGTCAGTTTTTAATAAAAAAAATTAAAAATGCCAAATATGGAGACATACTTTTATTTTTCCAAAAATTAAATAAAAACCGCTGTAGAAAAGTCTGAATAATTTTTTTATTTATTTTTCATAAAAGGATATACCTAGTGTCATAGGATAATTAAAAAAATATATATACAGGGTGTCCTGGAAAAGGAGGTCAATCAGTTAACCATATATTCTTTGAGTTAAAACAATAAGAGTTTTATAATACCATTTTTCAATTTAGAGCTTCATGTTCGATATACAGGGCGACAAAGTTTGAAATTTAAAACTGATTTTTTTTAATAATTCAAGTAATTGATAAGATATTAAGTTTGAATTCGGTACACAACTTCAACATAAATAGTTACATTTATGAGACCAACAAAACAAAAAACAATTGTCAAATAATCAAAATAGGGGGTTCCAGTACTTACTGACTCCCCCTATTTTCTAGTACGTGCGCCAATGACTTCCAAACGGTATTTTTTCAAGTAATCATTTATAAAATTTTGATAAAATGATTTGTTTTAGAGATAATTTGTGAAGTATGGGTCAATCCATATCAAATTTTTGAAATTTAATTTTTTTTTGAAAAAATTTAGGTCATGTGATATATCATAAAAAAGGTCTCTAATAGGCCTTTAAAATAAGCCATCACTTACCTTTCTACTTTTAATAGTTTACGAGATATCGCTATTTTTGTAAGTACTTGCAAAACCCAAATTTATCGGAATTTTTTGATTTTCAAATATCAATAAAACAAAAACCACCAATCAAAAAAAATTCATATATGGGATTTTTGAGTTTTTTAGTGAGGTAAACAAATTTACCAAAAATTATCAAAATCGGAGATGGTTGGGGGAAGAACCTTTGGTTGATTTGATATGGACTGACCCATACTTTACAAATTATCTCTAAAACAAATCATTTTATCAAAATTTTATAAGAGACAAATTTTTTTAACAATAAATGATTACCTGAAAAAATACCGTTTGGAAGTCATTGGCGCACGTACTAAAAATAGGGGGAGTCAGTGAGTACTGGACCCCCCTATTTTGATTATTTGACAATTGTTTTTTGCTTTGTTGGTCTCAAAAAATGTAACTATTTATGTTGAAGTAGTGTACCGAATTTGAACTTATTATCTTATCAATTACTCGAATTATTAAAAAAAAAACAGTTTTAAATTCCAAACTTTGTCGCCCTGTATATCGAACATGAAGCTCTAAATTGAAAAATGGTATTATTAAAGTCTTATTGTTCTAACTCAAAGAATATATGGTTAACGGATTGACTTCCTTTTCCCGGACACCCTGTATTTTAAATAGTAATAATTAAGTACCTACCTATTTGTTATTATTTTTTGAGTCGACAAAAAATACAATATTTCGACTAAAATAATAAAAAAATTAAATCACAATCAGTTTATTAAACACAAAATTTAAAATATTGTGGCGTATTTTTGCAATACCCAGTAAAATTTACAAACAACTAAATTAAATTTAATTCTTGTTACAGGTACTGGTACGATCGCAAATCGGCTCTCCAAGTGGACCAGAGGGTGCAAAAGGGCCTCTTCCTGTTCGCTTGCACGAACTCCTGCATGAACCCGATAGTCTACGGAGCGTTCAACATACGAGCTCGGCGACAGGGAGCGCAGGTTAGACCGCGGGCCAATACATACACCACCAACACATCCACAGTCCACAACATACCCCTAGAAACCAAGTTACCGATAGAACTCTCGCTAAAGACGCTTGAATAACAATCCGCCAAGTGCTAAGTGTGTAGATAAAAAGTTTTAGTTTTTATTTATGTGTTTTTGCAGGGGGTCACTTAATTATGGTTAATTTTAGAGAGTTTTTAATAAAATATAAAGGGTGTAGAAAATGGCGTACCATATTTAAATCAAATATAATAACGCATTTCACCATGATTAATTTTTTTTAATTATTACATCGCGTAAATGATTTATTCTTAAATAAAATCCTATCAAATAAAATTCGTTATTCTAATTTTTCCTGCGAGAAAGTCTCGGTTCCTAGTAATTAGTTTACCCAAAAGTTTTTCTTAATAACATACACAATTAAGTATTAACTATTAATTATTAATTTATAATATAAATAAACCAAGGGGATATTAATAGAACAAATAAAATGAGATTTATAGGCTTAAAATAGAAAATTGTTAAATTTTAGTTAAATTAACAATTAATGTTTCTTTACACAACATCATAATCCGCACAAGAAGGTCTGTTCTATCTCGTTTTGCGCATACTAAAAATCACAAAGTTAGGCAACACACTGCACAGACTTTATCAGCGGCCATTTTTATTTTGCTTACAATTATTGTGATTTGGGTTTGTGCTGTTTATACAGATTAATAATAGTTTTAAACGTTGTGTTTCTTAGGCACATGTAAGCCTTTAAAGAGTGCTAAGGGTGCTAACTTAGCACTGCTAAGTGCAACCTTACTCCTTTTTTTAATAAACCTTATTCTATCAGGGCTGTCATCAAACTGTAAAATGTCAATTTTAAGGTTAATTTATGGGTTATGGTAAATTAACCTTAAAATTGACATTTTACTAGAATAGGGTTTATTTTTTACAAGAGTAGTAAATTGGTTTTCCTTGGCACTTTAGGGCCTCATTTGAGGCACAACATTAAATATTGTCTGTCAAACATTTTATACGGGATGATCCAACAATAAACCAGGTGACTATTTTGTAATGGTAATGTGATGCATCAATTAATCGCTTTCCTTTAGTCCTAAATAAATATATATATTAGGGTGGCCCAAAAAAAAAAGAATATTTTTTTTCTTCTCGTCTCTTGTAAAAATATGTTGGTTTGTCATGTTTTAAGAGCCCTGTCAAAAGATCAGCACCATTAAAAATTTTTTAGGGGTCGCTCAAGTTTTTTAAAAATTACCAAAATCGTCAAAAATTGAATTTTTGTTTTATTTTAATTCTTTTTCTCATCTCGATATTATTTTTTAGGTTAAAAATAATAAAAATACTGTAAATTTCAAATCAATATTTTGATTTCTAAAGGTTGCTAAAAGTTCGTTGATATTTATATTCAGAGGTCGCTCGAAAACCTTCAAAATACTCTACTTTGAAAGTTAAAAAATCTTGAGCGACCTTTGAAATTTTCAGAATCATTGTTATTTTTAAATTAAATAATATCGGAACGAGAAAAAAAATTAAAATAAAAAAAATCCAATTTGACGATTTTGGTAATTTTTAAAAATCTTGAGCGACCCCTAAAAAATTTTTAATGGTGCTGATCTTTTGACAGGGCTCTTAAAACATGACAAACCAACATATTTTTACAAGAGACGAGAAGAAAAAAATATTCTTTTTTTTGGGCCACCCTAATTTATATATATATATGTTTTATCTTTAAGCGGTCTAATATAATATAAACTCTATTATTGTCAACACTTACTACTAAAGTTATTTATTATCTCCCACACTCTTAGAAAAGACCTGGTATTTGCAATGAAAATTTAGTTCCCAGAACCAATTTTATTAGTGAAAATAGGCACAACAAAAAAATATGTTGTGGGAACTAATACAAATTTGTTTTTACAGTTTGTTGTCGGAACAGCCAATATTGGTAGCTCCAACCAACAAGTTTAAGTGCATCGAAATTAGTTTTTTTTTCATACAAATAATTGATATTTAATGCAATCACATTAGTCTGTCATTTTAGCAGCGTCTAAGTTGTAACAACTGCACTTGCTATTTATCGCAACAAACATTGTATCATGCAGGAATTTATTTTTTTATTGAAATTACATGAAAAAAGGTACATTTAAAGAATTTAATAGTTGATATAATATAAATTTGTTTTTTACTGTAACTAAGTTATATTTAATATTAAATGCTTGCATTAGTAGCAACAACAAATTGGTATTATTCCACAGTACATACCTGCTTAGTAAATATAACACTTTTTGTGTAAATATTATAAAAAATAGAGGAAGAAAATTCATGCCCGTTCGTTTTATAAATATTTATTATAAATTAAAAAATAACAATATAACTGAAAACACCAAATTTTGGTTTAAACATTATAACAAAAATTAATAATTACTCTAAGAAAACATTTATAAATATTTTAACAATAAAACAAAAACGATTCTTTGGTAAATATACACAGATAGGTACATTAAGATGAAAGTTGACTATACTTCTTCAGTAAACCGTGATGTTTACGTGAAGTGCAAGCCTTTGTTTAATAACTTAACAATGATTCTTAGGTACAACGTAACATACTTGCATGATAACAGGGGTAAGCATTCGATAAATTTTGAGTGTGAGTGCCTATAGTATAGGCCCTATACCAAAAATGCGACTTGAGCTGTAACAAAACAAAACAAAACAAAAAATTCTCGAAATTCCGACGTGATGGAGACTTTTGGTGGGCACCATTGGATTCAGGAGGCCATTTTCAGTCGGAATGGCATTTTCACATTTTTTGATTTTTTTTGGACCCCAAAACTACAATAGTGTAATTAAAGGAGTGCAATAATAATACCCAACCTTTAAAAACTGGAACCAATTCAGGTAAACCCCATGTTCCTAATAAATCTGCTACTTCAGTCCGCTCATCCATATTATTTGTTCGAGATATCTATAAGTAACCAACACATAAGAATATATTCTTATATATATGAATAGTTAAAAAGTATGTCGCCACTGAATTTACAGGGGCAAATGACTAATTGTAATAAACTAGTTTCTTACCTAAAATATACACTACACACGAGCTGATACACAAATATAAAAGAACAAACACCACCGAAGTCTGGACGCCGCGCAACACCGTTTGTTTACAGGTTAAAAGTAAAGCACGCGCCGGGCTGGACAAATCGCGCGCGAAATGCACAAAGTTTGCAGTTGCATTAACCTACAGAGACAACATCCCCAACTGACACTTTGTTGCACACCGCTGGTGTCTTAGCTGTGTGAAAAGTGTCGCATAGTTTATACAACCGAACCGTTAGTTCCACGGACTAATTTCAGTCAGTTGAGAATGTTACTTAAATATTTGGACCAACAAAAACATTTTACCGCCGAAATGATTTTTTTGAGATAATATTGTCAATACTTCTAGCCAACACAAAGTTTCAGTTAAAATAACTTAACCGCCTTTTTGCAGTAAATAATACTCAACAACAAAACTAAATCTTTTCAGGTAATGATGCAAGCAGTTACACATATAAAGGTACTGATTACAAAAAACAAAAATTTTTATTTTCTGCAACAGTTTTACTCCAACGATAATAAGTTAGTTACAAATACCAGGTCTTTTCTAAGAGTGCAGGCTGTAAAATCCCGTATGCACCAATCAAAAAATTATATAACAGTTACATGTACCTAAACTTACTTTCTACATTTATTACACTCTTAGAAAAGACCTGGTATTTGTAACTAACTTATTATCGTTGGGGTAAAACTGTTGTAGAAAATAAAAATTTTTGTTTTTTTTAATCAGTACCTTTATATGTGTAACTGCTTGCATCATTACCTGAAAAGATTTAGTTTTGTTGTTGAGTATTATTTACTGCAAAAAGGCGATTAAGTTATTTTAACTGAAACTTTGTGTTGGCTGGAAGTATTGACAACATTATCTCAAAAAAATCATTTCGGCGGTAAAATGTTTTTGTTGGACCAAATATTTAAGTAACATTCTCAACTGACTGAAATTAGTCCGTGGAACTAACGGTTCGGTTGTATAAACTATGCGTCACTTTTCACACAGCTAAGACACCAGCGGTGTGAAACAAAGTGTTAGTTGGGGATGTTGTCTCTGTAGGTTAATGCAACTGCAAACTTTGTGCATTTCGCGCGCGATTTGTCCAGCCCGGCGCGTGCTTTACTTTTAACCTGTAAACAAACGGTGTTGCACGGCGTCCAGACTTCGGTGGTGTTTGTTCTTTTGTATTTGTGTATCAGCTCGTGTGTAGTGTATATTTTAGGTAAGAAAATAGTTTATTACAATTAGTCATTTGCCCCTGTAAATTCAGTGGCGACATACTTTTTAACTATTCATATATATAAGAATATATTCTTATGTGTTGGTTACTTATAGATATCTCGAACAAATAATATGGATGAGCGGACTGAAGTAGCAGATTTATTAGGAACATGGGGTTTACCTGAATTGGTTCCAGTTTTTAAAGGTTAGGTATTATTATTGCACTCCTTTAATTACACTATTGTAGTTTTGGGGTCCGAAAAAAAATCCAAAAATGTGAAAATGCCATTCTGACTAAAAATGGCCTCCTGAATCCAATGGTGCCCACCAAAAGTCTCCATCACGTCGGAATTTCGAGAATTTTTTTGTTTTGTTTTGTTACAGCTCAAGTCGCATTTTTGGTATAGGGCCTATACTATAGGCACTCACACTCAAAATTTATCGAATGCTTACCCCTGTTATCATGCAAGTATGTTACGTTGTACCTAAGAATCATTGTTAAGTTGTTAAACAAAGGCTTACACTTCACGTAAACATCACGGTTTACTGAAGAAGTATAGTCAACTTTCATCTTAATGTACCTATCTGTGTATATGTACCAAAGAATCGTTTTTGTTTTATTGTTAAAATATTTATAAATGTTTTCTTAGAGTAATTATTAATTTTTGTTATAATGTTTAAATTTGGTGTTTTCAGTTATATTGTTATTTTTTAATTTATAATAAATATTTATAAAACCAACGGGCATGAATTTCCTTTCTCTATTTTTTTATAATATTTACACAAAAAGTGTTATATTTACTAAGCAGGTATGTACTGTGGAATAATACCAATTTTTTGTTGCTACTAATGCAAGCATTTAATATTAAATATAACTTAGTTACAGTACAAAACAAATTTTTATTATATCAACTATTAAATTCTTTAAATGTACCTTTTTTCATGTAATTTCAATTAAAAAATAAATTCCTGCATGATACAATGTTTGTTGCGATAAATA